AGTTAAACTGATAAAATAAATAAAATATTGCAATGCCGGTAACAAGCTTTAGATTCTTATTAAGGTTTACGGTCGAAAATATATTTGAGGAGGGTTGCCACCTGTTTGAAAATTTAACTCAATTTGTATAATTGATAAAATAAATTACTTATTAAAATATAGGTATTAAATTAAGGAGGTTTAAGATGGATGACTGTTGGAAATATTTTTGAGTAGAGTTGCCACCTTTTTGAAAATTTGAACTCGAAAGCTTAGTATGTTGCACCAATGTATTTTCAATATAAAGCGATAAAATAAATAAACCAACGAAAATTTGGTCCTTTGTCAAATATGTTTGATTTATTATTATTTATTTATGGATATGCGCAATTTTCAATAGAATAGAGTGCAACCGCAAAACAGTAAAACTGTTTGGACGGGAAGTTAAAAGATATTTAATTTGGCGGGAAAAATGTATGACAGTTTCTGATAAGTACATGTGTACCAGGGATGTTGCGAATGTTGAATTTTAGACATCCGCGGATGCGAATGCGAATGCAGATATCAAGTATTTTTAAGAAACAATTAGAATCTAACATAGTGGCAAGATCATTGTTTAAGCAGCGCGTACAAGCCAAACCAGATGCGTCATGTTTTCCTAAAGCTTTTTAAAAAGAATTCTTCATTCTCATTCCTTTGACTGTTTCAAAATTTGGGGGAATCTGTATCTTCATCAGCGTTTTTCGATTTTAGTTTTTGTAATTGATTTTTAATACTTTCTTCTGCGGTTAGTTTGAACAATTTGTGCTTATGGCGAGCTAAATAGGTGGATATGGAAAATAAATTATTATGAAATGAAATGAAAATTTTGAACAAAATTCTGTTTTCAAAGTCGTGGCTGTCAGCCGAATCAGATCAGAATACTGTTGTTTTTTAAAAAGCCCCCGTTTTTTTATTAGCATTTGAATCTCAGATAGTTACGTAATTCTTATCTTATTAAAGGTCGGACCAATAGTTTTTTTAATTATTTGAGCATCGATTCTCGTTATAGCCAGACGTTGATCATTTCTGCTGGGAATCCCTATTGAATGAGCATACTCATTGACTTGAAATAGCAAAGAAGGGACAGTTTTACCACAGAAGTTTTTAGCCACGGATCCAATGTATATAACGAAAAAATATTGCACGACAAGTAAACAAAATTACTGTTCTTTAAATTTTTGCTAAAACTAAATTCCCCAAAGAGCCCCATTTGAATTATTGAAACGAATATATGTATCATCAAAAGCAAAACCCAAAAATTTGGTTAAGAATTACAGTGCACACTTTCTTCTTTTGTGTCTAGTAGTTTTTTTTTAAGATTGGTCCAAAAAAAATCATAACAAAGAAAGAAACCAATGCAGGCATTTAAAGAAGAGAAAACAAAAAAATATTGTCAAAAAGACCATGTTCTCTTTGACGTACGTCAAAGGTCAAGTAGAAGTTGGAACTTGTATGACTGCCCATTGATAGCTCGATTATATAGCTTAAGAAATAATTTGTTTAAATACATTTTTATCAAAGTTGATAAATATGACATTTGACCAGTTTTGTTACACAAAAACTCCCACAACCACGGGCAAAAATATTGGCTACAGTTTGTCATTTTGTTTGCCATATACAAATTTAATCGGCGCAACATTCGCATTCGCTGATTATTGCGAATGCGAAAGCGAATGTTAAAATTAATGCGGAAGCTCCGCGGTTGCGAATGCGAATATTCGCAACAACCCTGATGTGTACATGTACATATACAACTATATTCTGTATGTACAAATAAGGAAGAAACATTATTTTTCCAAAATAACGCTAAGAACCGAAATTAAGTGTTTAATGGAGAGATTGTTGTTCGACGATCAGCCACAATCTCAAACCGAACTGCGAATTGATGACGATGATATAGACGGCAACGTGCTTCCATTCCCATTCCTCTCCCACATTAGAGAATGAATTAGAGCGTGGCCTTCGTACCGCAAGCTTGCGAGATTGCAATTGTTATGCGGGATTGAATTCCGTAGTTGCGACGCTGATGGATGCACTGTTAGGTTGGAGCCGTCAAGGACATTTGTATTGGAGCCAGTGTTGCCATTTTAGCTAGATTTAGCCGGTTGTGAAAGCAAACAGCCGGAGAAAATTCGGTTTAGCCGGCAGCCGATTTGTCAGCCGCTTTGCCAAGAAAAATTAGCCGTTTTTAGCCGATCTTGCTATTATTTTCTTAAAATTTATATATATAAGTTTCCTATTTTACAAATTTATAGACCCAAAATCTATTATAAATAGTAAGCCGCCTTATCTCGGAGAAATTTTTCATGTCGAACTGTGTTACATATCTTCACCTGAAATTCAAAAAGACGTAAAAAACATCATCGCTGAAATGCAAAAGGTCATAACCAGGGAACGGATTTTCAGGACCTAAAAACCTATAAAAAAGGCAAAATAAAATAACGAAATAGGCTAGAAAAGGCAAAATAAAATAGCGAAATAGGTAGGAAAAGGCACTAGAAATCGCAAAAAGGCAAAATAAGGCACTAACAAAAGACAAAACCCAGAAAACAATCAAAAAATACATTGATTTTAGAAATATTTATTTTACAAGTAAAAGGAGAAAATCTATGAACTAGTTTCATTATATGAAAAATTTATACTTTGAATCTTTGAATTTTTGCTATTAGTTGTAGAAACATTGAACCAGAAGATGCATTATGAAGTTTTCTGGCAGCATTTTCGTTCGATTTTCGCGAATAAAAGCATTGAATGTACTAAACGTCCGCTCGACGTGAGTTGATACAAGTGGCGCCCAATTTAAATATCAAACGTTTAAGACTTTCATATTATCAAGAATAAGGGCTTTTTCCTTGCTCTCTACAATTAAAGGTAGAAAAGGCAAATGACAAAAAATGGCAGCATCAAATGTGTAGATATGAAATCAGGGAAAGCTAAATCGTTGACATTCTTAATCAAATATACTCTATCTTTTTAGCAGAAAAAAAGGCAATTTCCATAAAATCCGTTCCCTGGTGATAACTAATAAAAAATACAAAATTCACTTTTTCATTTATATGATGTGTTGCTCTTTAGCAACGTAAAAGGGTGTGTTTGAGTATATTTAATTGAATAAGTAAAGCAAATTTTAAGGTAATACAAATTATTCCGAGTTTATTCAAAAATGGGAAAATATAGTGGACTGTAGGTTAAATTGAATTTAATAAACTGGTCTAGTCGACGATTCGATTGCGAGTGCTCCGTTGCCGGTGTACGGGTGCCGAGAGCTCACATTCGGAAAAAGTACATATTTGAATTCTAGTACAGTTTTAAACATATATATATATATAAGGATAGTGAGTATGTTCAGTTTCGAATTAAGTAATTCTATTACATTTCAAATATGTATATAAAGTAAAGGGTGACTAATTCTTCATGTAAATTCATTATAAGTAATTCTATTACATTTCAAATATATTTATAAGATAAAGGTTAGCTAATTATTCATCATCATCCATGTCTTCGACATCACGCCCGGCCGGCCGCGTAGAAGCGGATACTAGCTCCTTCAGCTGGTTGATGATGTCTTGCGCTTTATTGAGCAGCTCACGCATTTTACGACTCCGGGCAGCGGTGGGACTTTGCAGACCTCGAGTACGCCGGATTGTCCGACGGCTAGCATAGCGAGTCCTCTCCCTACGTCGGATCGTTGACGACTTCGCCAGCGTTCGATGTAGCAGCGTGTGGTGCGCCCTACCACACTGATGACAGCTGGCTGGAGAGTCACAGGCACCGGTGACATGGGAGGTAGCCAGGCAGTTTACACAATATTTATGTACTCGGGCTGACTCATGCCTTTCAGCCGGCGTCATGGCGAGAAAAGCTTTACAGTAGCGCAATGAATGGGGGCGGCAACAAAGGCGACATTTGCTGAGCTCCATGGATGCTTCACTTGTCCTATGAAGAAATTAAATTTGAAACCAAACATTAGTTTTTTTGCGTAAATACGGAGGGAATGGGAGTGAAAATGTTCTGTGGTTAACCACAGAGTCTGTATATTGAGGTATAAAGAAAAGAGAATTTTGAATAAAGTTTGATGCGTTAAGCATCCATTGTGCTGGGTGGAGGTGGTAACAAGCATAATTTTGCGATGTTGCGTGTTATAATTCCCTTTTGGGTACGGATGTCAGCCACGCGAACGTTTTGGTCGGGACCGGGATAGAGCTTAACAATACGTCCGAGGCGCCAATCATTTGGTGGGAGGTTGTCTTCTTTGATGACGACGAGGTCTTCCACTGCGATATTGGGTTCTTTGCCTTTCCACTTATGCCGTTTGTGTAGCTCTTGCAAATATTCAGTTTTCCATCGGGTGCTGAATTGATGGTGAAGTACCTTGAGCTTCTGCCACTTGTTTGGAAGAGACAGGTTTTCTGCGTTAGGTTCTGGCAGAGAGACAAGTGGTGCTCCTCTTAAGAAGTGACCGGGAGTAAGAGGCTGTAAATCGCTAGGATCTTGAGACAAAGGCGACAGCGGTCTGGAATTGAGTACCGCTTCGATTCGTATGAGCAGTGTGGTGAATTCTTCAAACGTGAATTTGTGATTCCCCGCGACTTTGTTGAAGTGCGTCTTAAAACTTTTAACCGCTGCTTCCCACAGGCCTCCCATATGAGGAGCGTATGGTGGTATAAATTGCCAGGAGAGGCCATGAACGATATATTTTTCAGCGATATCTGAGGCGGCTTCCTTAAGAAAAGTGGAAAGTTCTCGGTGGATTGACCTTTGAGCGCCTACGAAAGTTTTCCCGTTGTCCGACATGATTTTATGGGGGAGACCACGTCGACCAACGAATCTGGCAAAGCAGGCCTTGAAGGCTTCTATTGTCAGGTCTGAGCAGAGTTCTAGATGTATGGCTTTGGTGGAGAAGCAGACAAACACGCATACATATGCTTTTGTGTGTGAGGCGCGACGCAGTAAAGAAGTTTTCACCAGGAGTGGGCCCGCGAAGTCTATTCCCGTGGTGTGAAATGGTAGCGAGTAGGTTGCTCGTGCTGGAGGCAAGGCCGCCATTATCTGCGATCGCATTTCTCGCTTGTGTATGGTGCACACCTTGCAGTGGAAAATGCATTTTTTAACTTTCTGCTTAAGTCTTGGGACGTAATACTCTTGTTGTACCATCCGGACCATGAGCTGTTTTCCCGCGTGGAGTAGAGTTGTGTGGAGAAAATCTATGAAGAGAGAAAAGAACTTGGAGTTTTCGGGTATTATGATGGGGTGTCGTTCATTGTAGGTGAGAACGGCGTGCTTAAGGCGGCCGTTTACACGCATTACGCCACTTTTATCTAGCATGGGGTTCAACGATAGCAGCGAGCTTTTTTTATTTACCGGTTTCGCGGCTTCCAGTTGTGCGACCGCCTCTGCGTAATGATTGTGTTGGGCGCATATGATGAGCCGGGTTTTGACGTAACTGATTTCGTCCTGGGTGAGTGTGTGCGTCGTGGGTATTGGTTCCTTTCGTGCGCTGCGGATGAACCGATACACGTAAGCGATTACCCTAAGGGCGCGAGGAAATGACGAGAATCGAGTGAGAGGGTCTTCGTTCTCTATTGTGTGATAAGATTCCACAGATTTTTGTTCAGGGGGAAAGAGCGTTTGAGGCGCATTCTTTGGCCAGCTCGCTGAGGGTTTGGTGAGCCACTGAGGGCCATTCCACCATAGGGAACATGACGCTAGATCTTGTGGCTTGCATCCTCGAGTGCCTAAATCTGCGGGATTGTCTAAGCTCGATACGTGTCTCCATGTGGCGTTATTGACATTCTGCAAGATGAGGGAAGTTCGGTTCGCCACATATGTCTTCCATGTCCATGGTGGTTTTTCTAGCCAGGCCAGCACGATAGAGGAGTCTGACCAGAGTATGAGCTCATGGGTCGGCAGATTAAGTTGGGATCGAATATGCTTCACAAGTTTGGAGAGAAGGACCGCTCCACACAGTTCCAAGCGAGGCAGACTCACTGTTTGGAGGGGTGCGACTTTACTTTTTGCTACGAGCAAATGAGATGATGCCGAGTTTTCACAGTGTTCCACTCGGAGATAAACGCATGCGCAGAATGCTTTTTCGGATGCGTCTGAGAATCCATGGAGCTGAATGGTTTTATTAGGGGAAAACTGAACCCATCGCGGTATCCGTATTTCGCTGATGGCTATGAGGTTTTCTCGAAATGAAGTCCACTTGCGAAGCGCTCCGGGTTTGACGTTCTCGTCCCAATCGGTACCTTCCATCCAGAGTTGTTGGAGTAAGATTTTCGCCTGGATCATCATTGGCGATAGCCACCCTGCCGGGTCGAAAAGTTTCGCCACGGAGGACAAAATCTGTCTTTTAGTGGCTGCTGTGGAGTCTGGCAGGGGGTCAATAGAGTATGAGAATTCATCGTTGCGTGCATTCCATGTTACGCCGAGAGTTTTTGTTGAACTGGAATCATGGAATTCAAGAAAGTGTGTTTCTAAGAGGTCTGGTTTAGGTATATTTTTGAGTAGATATTTGTGGTTCGCAGTCATTTTTTTTAATGGAAAACCTGCTGATTTTAACGCATCAGTTACCTGGGTCATTGACGTAAGTGCTGAGTCGAGGTCGTGACCCCCAGAGAGTATATCGTCAACGTATATTTCATTTAACAGTATTTCTGTGGCTTTTGGGTATTTGATGCTTGAGTCTTTAGCTAGTTGGTGAAGCGTTCTTATCGCGAGGTATGGCGCGCAATTGACACCAAAGGTAACAGTTTTTAATTTAAAATCTTGTACCGAACTTTGAGGGGTTCTGCGGAAAAGTATCCTTTGGAATTCTTGATCCTCTGGGTGAATGTATATCTGGCGGTACATTTTCTCAATGTCGCCATTGAAAACGTATTTGTACAAACGCCATTTGAGTAGAACGAGCATAAGATCATTTTGGAGTATTGGACCTGTGTGGAGGATGTCATTAAGAGAGATACCTGAATGCGAAAGTTTCGACGCGTTGAAAACTACTCGCACCTTGGTAGTTTTACTATGTGGCTTTATTACTGCGTGGTGGGGTAGGTAGAATGAAAAATATTTGCCTTCACGTATTATTTCTCGGGACGATGTGGGTTCCATGTGACCTAATGTGAGGTATTCTTCAAGGACCTTCGAGTATGTTTGTTGCAGTTCCGGCTTCCTTTCATGCGATCGCTCGATACTGAGATATTGTTGTTGTGCTGCAGGCTTGGAGTGTCCGAGTGCAATCGTGTCCGGGAATGTAGTTTTAAACGGAAGTTTTACCACGTAACGACCGTCATCTCTGCGAGTTGTGGACTTTTGATAGAGATCTTCACAAAATACATCATCGTCAGTGAGGGATGGGGTTGCTGGTACTTCCTCCTGATCCCAGAACTTCTTGAGCAGATCATTGAGAGAGTTTGTTGTGCTTTCAACTACCTGGGTTGAGAATGATGATACTTGTTCCGTCAGTGGGCCGCTCAAAATCCACCCAAATATTGAGTTTTGGGCTATCAAACTTCCACCGACATTGGTTTTTAGGCCTGGGAGTAACACTTGGGGAATGACATCGCTTCCTAATACCATGTCTATTCGAGCTGGAGTAAAACAGTGGGGGTCTGCTAGGGGGAGGGATGAGTATTCTTGCAGTTCAATATATGTAGCTTTGAACGATGGCAAGAAATGAGTAAGTTGCGGGAGTATTATCGCGTTTGTCGTTATTTTCATAGTTGAATCAGCAGAACAAATGGTAATCGGGCAGATTCTGTTCGCATTTTGCAGTACGCGGCCACCCATTCCCATAATTTCATAACTAGTCGCTTTTGTCGGCAGGCCAAGCAGTTTTTGTATGCGAGACGCTATGAATGTTTTCTGAGATCCTTGATCTACAAGAGCTCGAATTTTGAAAATTTCTCCATTATGCAGGATTGAGATTTTTGCGGTAGGAAGTAGGGTTTTTTCTCTACTACTCGCAAAATGTGAGAGAGTTTGTTGAGCTGCCTTTGAGGTTGATGCTTCGTTTGGGTTGCTATTCCCTGGAGATGGGACTCGTGCCTGATTTGTTTTAGACCTGGTGCCTGTATTTGCTGTTGGTGATCTAGCGGGGTAATGGAGAAGAGAGTGATGCCGTTTTTGGCAATAAACGCAGGTAAACTTGCTGTGGCACTCAGTTTCTGAGTGGGAACAGGCCAAACAGTTTTTACAATAGTTGTTGTCTCTTATGAACTTATTGCGTTCTAGAACTGAGAGCTCCTTGAATTTGACACAGGTCATCAGAGAGTGATTTGAGTTGCATAATTTGCAAGATACCTGTTTTTTTAACTCAGTGTTAAATGAGTGAGTTCTGTTTTTATAGCCGAAGGAATGAGTATGATTAGGGGTTGATGAGCGTGGGGTATAATTTGGTGTTGAGGCCTTGGGTTTATTTGGCCTGTACGTACTAAGTCTCTCTACGATTTCATAACGGGTTGTCAGAAATTTATTCATTTCTGACCAGAGGGGTAACTCTTTTCTAGAGTCGAGTGACTGTTCCCATAACGCTAGGGTTTCATCTGGGAGTTTTGAGGAGCAGAGATGTATTAATATGGGGTCCCAGTTTTCTGTGGGTACGCCATTTGATTTCAAAGTCGAGAGGCAATTGTTTATTGTTGTCTGAATTGCCTGAATTTTTTCCCCATTTTCGCTTTGAATGGGCTGAATATTAAAGAGGGTTTTGAGTTGGTTGTCGACAAGGAGTCTGCGATTTTCATAACGGGATTTTAATGCATCCCATGCGAGCTCAAAGTTTTGGTCATTCATCTCATAGTTTTTTATTAAAAGTGCTGCTTTACCTCGGGTTTTTAGCTTTAAGTAGTACAGTTTTTGGGCTTGAGAGAGTTGGGGGTGTTGTTTGTACACTGCTGTGAACATGTCCCTGAAGGACGGCCAATCTTCGTAGCCGCCATAAAAGAAATCAGTGTCACAAGCAGGTACTTTTAAGTAGTTTTGAGTTAGGGGTGGGGCTGGGGCTGCTGAAATGGTGGTTGCGCTTGCGCCTATCGCGTTTTGTTGAAGTCTGGGGAGCAGTTGGTTTATTCGGGTCCTAGTATTGTGGCACATATCGATGGCTGCGTCATATTTCGTTTCGTATGCTTTCCTATACTTTTCGTCACTGCAACACATGTGTACAAGCTCGTATGCCTGTTCAACCCATGCTAGGTGTTTGGTGAGTTCCTCCACATAAAGCTTGAGACCGGCTTCCGAGTGATCCGTTTCGTTTATCTTCCACCATTTCGCACAATATTTTTCCAGCTTTGAGATTTCGAAGAGGAATTTTTTTTGAGTTTGGGTCAATTCCTCATCGTCCGTTTGAGATTTTGACCGTGTCTTTACTCCCTGAGGAGGTGCCTGGAGGGATGTGAGTTTTTCCTGTTTTTCTTCCGCCATTATTTAATTTTTTGGGGAAGGAAGTTTATAGGAGAAATTGAGGTAGCTTTGCTGCTATAAATCGATTGAGTGAGATTGAGTTTTCGAGATTTTTTTTTTTCTCAAGTTTATATTTATTGTGGCTTTTCGTAAAATTTATTGGGAGATGGAGGTTATTTAAGAGGATTAACTCAAATTTTGTACTTGGGATATGCTTAATAAATTTTATTTTGATTTAAAACACTTTAACTTGATTTAATTTGCTAAGTTTTTGGGAATCGGAATTTTACTGCACTACACTGTATTTGCGTTGGTGCGAAAAATTTATAGGGTCACTGTATTGTCTGAGTACAATAGCAATTGTGGACTGTTTTGTTTTGCGCAAAAGCAATAAAATCTATGCGTAAAGATTTGAACAGTCGAAAACAAGCTATGTATTTGCAATGAGTTGTTATGTATTTTCATACATATGTCAGCCACTGTAGTTTGGCGCTTAGATATTAAGGGCTAGGTATGTATGTGCGAGTATGTATACTTAGCGCCTAAATGCTAGTACATACGTACATACGCAAGATAATTTGAGTGACCCACGAAATATTATTTGGAAATAGAATCTAGAATGCTAAAACCAAAGAGCAAGGGAATATGTGTTTGGGGTTTCTCTACTGATTATTATTAGGTATGTACATACATATGTTTGGATGCATCAACATAGATTCGCTCTATGAGAACCGTTGTAGTTTGGCGCGAGTGCATACGTATGTATTAATGTATGTATTTATGTATACAGCGCAGTATTAGTACATATGTATATAGGTAAATGCCCTGACTGACGAAATATTATTCAAAACTGAGTTGGCGTTGCGAAACGGGAATTTTTTCTTTGGTACATGTACCCAGGCGGAAATTTGGGACGTTCACTTGAACAATAGTTTCGTTCACTGAATTTAATAATCATGCATGTATTGTGAGTTGGGGGTAAATTATTTGAATATGTGATGGAGTATATATGTTGTATATTACTGTGCCTTAAGTTTAGCGGATTTTTTCTTCGAGTTGGAGAAAACGGGATATATGTATTTGAATATATGTCTACATATATATGTAGATATACAATATATTTATAATATACTGTGTTTAAAGAGTGCACGGTATTTGTCTACGGTAAATGAAAAAGGGGTAATTCATTTCACCGTATTTTTTACGAAAATCCGCTAAACCTTGCAAAAATATGCGGATATGTAAGTATGTATGTTTGAGTAACTCACTTTGGCATTCCTATGTACAAACTCTTTTTTTTCGTGTGGTGGTCTACTGTACCGGTGACTGGCCTGCTGCTATGCGGTACCTTCCGTCGCTACTGCGCCCAAGTTTCCGTCTGCCTGTTGTTGTTGTTGTTTCGGTTGCTGGTGGTGCTCCGCTACAGCTGTCTCAACAGGTGCTTCGGTGGCTGGCTGCTGCGCTGGACGATGGTAGCTGATGCGGTGGAAGATAGTTGCGACAGTATGCATTTATGTATATATGTATACTAGCTTTTACCCGCGGGTTT